GTGCATGCGTACTTACTGCGCTATGCTTCAGCTGCTCGGTGGAGCATTGCGCAGATGCCATACACTCCAAACGCATAAGCCCCGATTGACTCAAATACAGATAAGTAAGGCAAGCAGACGGATGGGCCCTCCGGAGCACTGTACTGGAACGGTACCTGGTGCTCCCAGCAGGCACCGGTACGCCCATACCGAAGTGTACCAGTCATATCCCACCACTGGTGTCTTATAACTTAGAGAGTGCTGTGCTAACATTTGCATCAGGTGGCATGTAGAGAGTGGTGATAACTATAACAGAAATCTCTCTAGGTAAATAAAATAGCTGACAAATTGCAAATTCCACATCTGGAGAACAGTGTGTATAAGTAAACTCTATTGTTAGTACACCAGTTATTATGTGTGTAAATACAAAGTCCTCCACCTTTGCTTTTACCGGAGTTGCTGTTTCTGTCAAAATGGTGTATGATGCAGTTAGTTAGCTTCACTGATGTATCTGGTACAAGTGGATGAAGCCAGGTCTCTGTGATGATTATCACATAGCAGTTGTGAATGAGCTTATTCGCTGCCATCCATAACTCTAGTTCATCAGTTTTGTGGACAAAGGATCTAGAGTTGGTTAGAAAAATGCTTGGTAATGCTGGTCTGTGGGGCTGCTTCTGTAATCGAACTAGCAAACCAGCTCTGCATCCCCGTTTCTGCTTCTGCTCTCTTTACTGCATCGTAGGCCCAATAACAATTCATGGAGAGCCTGGCAGTCCTACTATGTTCCTCTGTATATTATAAGACTGCTGGATGTCACTGATAATATCTAGTCGACTAGAAGATCCAATCTTTAGTAACTTCCGCGGATATAAACTACTTTTTGCCTTCATACTGCACTGTGACACCAGGAGCTCAAAGCCGCAGTGTCTATGTGCGCCACCATCGTGTGTGTGTGTTTGTGTGTGTGTGTGTGTGTGTGTGTTGGGGGGTGTTGGGGTGTGTGTGTTCGGGGGGTATCTGTTCTGTCTGTCTGTGTATATGTATGGGTGTGATTACTTTTCTTTTAAAATATTTGTGACAAATACTTTTATAAGCTATATAGACAAACTGATTAGGCATAAAGCTTCTAAACTAGACAACACATTTTCAAGACAAAATTAGCAGTTTTAAAAAACTGTTTCAATTTTCCTCATTTACATTACTTTTTAGCCTGTAAAGCTATCTTATAACAATGATATCTGCTTATTTAAGTGATTAATTTTTGTAATAATCTCTCTATATTAGCCATTGTTGACTATGATTTGAGTTTGGCTGTCAAAATACAGTTTTAGTACAAATCTTAGTAATAATTTGAACCTATAAATAGTTTGGGTTAAAATCCAAAATATGAACTTTGTGTGAGATGTTAACTATGTTAACTATTTTTCTCTTAATATTTGAGAGATTTTCTTTTAAAATTTCCCTCCCAAAAGGAAATTCAACTACAGTACAATATCATAGTCAAATAACATAGGAAGGAAAACAATATAAGACACTCATAAAAAGGCCTCTAAATCAAACGCTTCTTAACAACAATTGCAATGGAATAGAATTTAGTTATCTATATCTATCAATTGACTGATTTTCCTAATAAAAAGATACATAACGTCCTTTGCGGGCCCACCACTTGTTAAGGAGGAGTGGAAATGTTAGATTGGTTAGCCTGCTAACATAAAAAGTACAACACACAAATGATTTTTTTTATTTAAAAATTTTTTAATTTTTAATTTAAAACAAGTACAACATCTTTCTTTACATGCTATAGAAAGTGTATCAGTCGGTCACAAATAAACTTTCGTACATCTCCTCCACAGTCAACAAACATAACTCATGTTAACTCAAGCATTTTAACTCAAATATTCATACATATCACCATCATCATATATCCATTTTCATTTGACTGTAATTATTATTTAAAAATATTGATAATAATAATAATCTTAAACAATACATGCCCACACCAGTGGGAAAAGAAAAAGACAAAAAGACAAAAAGAACAAAAGACAAGGCAGGGAAAACACACACACACACACACACACACACACACACACACAAAGAACACAGGTATATATTATATAAAAAAATAGTATATCAGCTGGTTACAACATGTTTTGGTGCATCTCTTCCATTAATTCATATTAATTCAAATATCTTAACTCAAATGTTTACCATATTGACATCATTATACCTCCACTTTTAGTTAACTACAGTTATTTAAACATCCTTCAACCTTAACTATGCCAAAGAGTTAATCCATAACCACATGCTGACATTTCATTTACTTGTTTGTAAAATCCTCTATTAACATCAAATCCTCATATCCTATTTTAGCTGAACATCCATAATATTTAATACCAAAAATTCCATCTTCCATGCAGTATAGTTTATTATCATTCTCCCTTCTTTATGTAGTTATATCGTATATCATAGCATTTTCCCCATATTAATTAACATTTAACTGTATATATTTTATTTTATTTTTTAATAGTGATAATAGTGATAATTATTGTGATTAATAATCTTTATATATAGTCCAAAAGTATTTCCAACCTTCCTCTCTCATATCCAATTATTATTTATCATATCAACTCCACATTATATACATTACTATCAATATCAATTATTATTCAGCTATATTTATTACAAATAAGAGTAATTAGATTTAGCTCATTTTAAGTTGTATTCTTCCATCTGTCAGCCTATGTCTCTCCAATAAAAAAACCTTCTCAGTCCTATTGCCATTCGTTGAATAGATTTACCAAATGTTTTTATAAGCAAGTCCAAACAGGGATATCCAAACAGGGATTTTTGCTCAGGATGTCTCTGATGAGATAATAATGTTGTCCCAGGCTTGTTAAACTTTTCAAATTGACTTTAATTCTCAAGGGTGGAATTAAGAAATCTGCCAATGATGTTTCATAAAGTGTAGATTCTTTAATACTTCTCATTTCTCCTGCAATCTGTCTCTTAAAATGAATCTTCTGTATAGCTCCCCCCCTTTCCAGCATTGCATTTCTTTCTTCCTCCGAGATAGACCAGACGTCATTTCTCACAATTTTAATTTGTATTTCAGGAACATTCAAACATTCCACGTTCTCACCTTTTCCTTCATATTTTAATGTCAAATAATCCAATTTTTTTTCAAATCTTTGATATGAATCAAACAGCTTCCGAAATGCAAAAAAAAGTATTTGAAATGAGCCCTTGGGAATATAATTCGACGCCATGTTGTGTCGCAGTTAGAGACTTTAAGATATTTGAAAGTAAAAACACACTGGGAGCTGTGCGATCTTATCTGATCTTAGACCAACACAGCCAAGCAATAAAAGTGTCAGATCGTGAAGGGCCAATTTGTAGTAGGTTAGATTTACAACCCACTTAGAAAGAGTCAGGGGGGAATGTTGAAGAATTCCTTAAAGCGTTTAAGAAATAGAGTAACCACCGGCCATAAATCCATTTTAAAAAAAACCAATTCGCCGCTAGATTCTTCTGTTCTTTGGTTTCAATTAGCTTAAATTTTAGTGCAGACCGTCTCTCTTCGAGTAATAAAATCAGCTTACCAGTTGAATCCACTTTCACCATTCTTAGGGGCAACCTGCAGTTTCAGTTAGCATGCAGCTAATCCAGAAAGGAGTTGGCAGGAGGGGTTAATTCCAAGCCCCCCCAGAGACTTTGCGAACGTCTCTGAGGTCACTGGATCTCCCCTCACCTTTCACTGTCTCTACGGGACAGCTAGGGTCCGACGACCCGTCCAAAAATTCCTTCGGAATAGGGGAATTTCAGGAATAGCCTGAAACTCCGTCTTCTCACTGCTAAGCCCTGCCTTCTTTCGAACACACAAATGATTGTAGCATCATGAACATAAATATTCTGAAAAGGACTATTACTCTAATATCCTTCCAATGTTTTTGAAAGTAAAATGTTCAACTTTGCTGGATTAGCAAAGATAGGTTTTTGTACAATTACATAAAATAAATTTTAAAATATATGGTTTAGAGAATAGTCTACAGAATACATTTCTGTTTTAAAGATTGAAGCTCTATAAGGAGTTTTGGGGGACAAGGAATTAACAAGGATTGAAATGAAAGACCATATTAGGTTGGACTTTTTTTGCACAAAGAAAATAAATCTACTAAACTATTTATGAAAATTAGTTTTTGCCAATACTTGACATGGTAAATTGTATCACAGAGATAAAGACAAACTTCAAACAATGTAATGTAAAGAAACATGAATCTGAATTCATATATTTTTAGATTATATTGCTTTTAGGATTCTTGGATCCATATATTGTAGGAAGAGTTATGCCTCATATTCGAGGAACTAAAGAACTTGTGCTCTAAAATAGTTTGACAGTTACAGAATTTCATTTTGAAGACAGGAGAAAAAATTAGATAGGTAAAATATATTTTACCACTTGTTAATATAATAGAGTTATATATTAAATGTACTCTTATTTATGTCAAATAATTCCCACAAAAAGAATGAAAAAACCAATTTACCATGAAAAACTGTAAAACCAGTATTATTAAACCAAATTAATTTGAATTGAATACTTTATTTGACAAAGTGTAATTAGACACAGCATTTAAAAATGCAAGTAAAAAAATAGGGACTACCTTCGGTCAGAAGGTTACAGCGTTCTGTGCGCCTTCGGCATTTAGTCATGCCAGCCACATGACCATGGAGACATCTTTGGACAGCTCTAGCTCTTTGGCTCTGAAATAGAGATGAGCACCGCCCCTAGAGTCGGGAATGACTAGCACAATATGTGTGAGGGGAACCTTTACCCTTAATTAGATACAGAAGGAATTTTAAATGTGTTAAAGTTAATTGAATTTGAATATTTAAGGGTTCTGTGTATGTATTTATTTATTTTTTATTTTTCCAATTTTAATTTTGTTCTTTTATCCAACGCAACAAACCAAATTCATTGTATAAATCATATCTAATTTATAAATATTTTTCTGATTCTTTTGCAGGGTTGGGAAGAAAGTGTGGATGCTTCTATCTCTCATTTGTTAAAAACATGTCTGTCCAAAAGTTCTAAAGACCATGCTCTTATACTTTTTAATCAATTATGCATCCCCAAGGATACTAATAGATTGAAGAAGCACATAACTTTACTCTTCGATAGACTGGCAAAAGGTGGTCGTATGTCTCTAAACACAGACCTAGACTGTCACCAACCTGTGCTTTTGTCAGGTAAGTTGTTTGATATACATTTATGTGCACCCAGTTTAGAAAAAAGGAATGTAGATTTAGTGAGATTGTTTAAATTTCCTGCTAAAATGGTTATAGGAAAAGAAAAGAAAAGACTTGTTTCTCCTTTAAAAATTCCAAATAAATATGAATAAATATGCTAGTGGAATTTTTATGGCAAATATTTTTAGAATGGCATGTATTTCTGTAACATTTAACAAGATCCATTATGTTTTCTTTCTAACCAATAAAAAGTGGATTTGAGAATAAAATCATTTTGAACCTCCATTTGTCTAAATGTGATAAATAACTGCCGTATTTACGAAATAAAAATAGATAAATACAGAGATTAATGTATCCCAGATGATCATTTCAAGCTGCCTTTAAGATAACCAGTAAGTTCAGCTGAAAGTCACACAAGTATATAATTCTACTTTAACTACTTGTGAAATTCATTTAAATTGCTTTTGCCTGAATGGTGCAAATATGGGGATATCCACGAGATTCTTCTTTCCTTTGCTGCAACGTTAATTTTTATATTTAATGAGTGGATATATTTAATAAGTCAAAGGGAAAGAAGTGTTTCAGATCTTTATGTATACCTTTGGTAGAGTTTCACAAAAGCAAGATGTCCAGATCAATGCTTCTGAAAATAAATTGTCAAGTTCTGTTTTTTTGATCCCATAACAATTTTTTGATATTATGGTTCTGAACTATTCTGTCGCAAATATTAATTGTATGTTACAGGTTTTGTCTTAATTTATCTCATTTTTCTTTATCAAACACATTAAAAATACCCCTGTGAAAACAACTGTGCCAAACCAATTAAAATATTGAATCAGTATTACGTTTAGTACTGTTCAATATATATATTACATGGCTTAGGACCAGGATATCTGAGAGACCGCCTCCTGCCACATACCTCCCAACGGCCGATAAGATCTCACAGGTTGGGCCTTCTCCGGGTGCCGTCGACCAGATAATGCCAGCTGGCGGCCCCTCGGGGGAGGGCCTTCTCTGTAGCTGCTCCGGCCCTGTGGAACGATCTACCCGTAGAGATCCGGACCCTTCCCACTCTCTCGGCCTTCCGAATAGCCACTAAAACCTGGTTATTCCGGCAGGCCTGGGGCTATTGACTTCATGAACGAGGTCCAGCCCCACCTAGACGGAATGTGTGGTGTGTTGTTTTTAAATTTGTTTCTCTGTCTATTTTTAACTCTTATCTTTTATCTTGTTTTTGTAAGCCGCCCAGAGTCCTATGGGATTGGGCGGCATATAAATTTATTAAATTACTAATTACTAATTAAATATATATATATGATAGTATTGAAACAGAATATTCAAATTTGCCTAAATTAAAAGAGACTTCCGGTTTGGTGTCATAGCAGTACAGTCAAGGGGAAGCTGGGCTCGGCTTTCCATGATTGATTTCATCCTGCCAGAGGTCTCCAAGCGGGTCAGAGTTGCCCTGTAGAGGCAACGATAGAGATGGAAATCCTGTAGATCACATTCGATCTAGGAAAACCGTTAAACTGTCAGGACAAAGGCCTAGCTGCACTTGTGGAACTTGCTTGAAGCTATTGACAATCTTTTATTGAGATAAAAGCTGTGAAAGAAAGATTATTAACATCATGCTCTTTTATTGAGATAAAAGTTGTGAAAGAAAGATTATTAACATCATGCTCTGAAGCTGGGTAAGACTACTTAAACTCTATCCCCTCAAGATAGAGTTTAACATCTCCAAGCCCCTCAAGATGTGATTGGAGGAAGGAGAAAATACATGCTTCCCCCTTCAACAGAGGAAAAGAAGCTGCAGTCAAACAAACGAGGGACCGCAAAGGGAAATTAAAATAGAAAACCAGAGCAAACTTATAATGGAAAAAAACTTATATGGCAAACATTGAAAACCTTTATTAAAGTTTTATTAAAGCTTTGGAGAGCAAAGGCTATTCAAAATAATTAATCAAAGAATACTAAACTCTATTTGTGTTACTAACTCCTGAAGAATTAATTGAGAGATAGTGACTCCTTGTGTAAAGAGGAGAAAATTGTTGAAACGTCTTATATGTAAAGAAAGGATGTGGCTCTAATGCCCTGATGGTGAACCTAAGGCATGTGTGCCACAGGTGGCACGCGGAACCCTCTCTGCAGGCACACCATTTGCCCCAGCCCAGCTCCACCACGCATGCACATGCATGCGTGCCTCCGGAGCTAGCTGGGCCTCTGCTAAGGGCCAGGGCAAGGGATGCATGAACATGTGCGGGGAGGGGTGGGTGCTTGCATTGCGCAGTGAACTCAGGTGGGCTGGATGTTAGTATGAATGGACTGGCCCCGCAGTTCTTTCTCGCTCAGTTGGAGGCTTCCTTCAGCCTTCAAACAGTTTTTTTTGCTTCCAGTTTGATGCAGAAGGCTTTCTATGCACAAAACAGGGAGGAAAACCTGTGCTTTCTGCGCCTCATTTTGGAGCCCACTGCTACTTGGGTAAGAAGGGCAATAATGAAGGCAAGGAGAAGAATGGCTAGGCTTTGTGCCAGCCAACAGGGAGCAAGTCAGGCAGTGTTGACTGGTTGGGGAAGGGGCAATCATGGTACTTAGGCGGCTGCCTCTGCCAGCAGCTTCCATACCCCGACTGAAGCTGGAATTCACTGTATTGGGAGAAAAATGAGAGGCCCTGCTTGAATGGGGAGGACAAGGAGAAAAACTGTTGCTATGTGTGCTCTGACTAAAGCAGGGGTCATGCCCTTGTTTGCTCTCTCTCTCTCACACACACACAGTGGAGAGCCCTCCTCCTCTCTCTCTGTCTGTCTCACTGCAGGTGGAGCTTCAGTGCCTGGCTTGAAGGGCACTCAGGTAAGCCAATGTGGGGTGTTGGGAGGCAGCTCTGCACCCCCTCCCTTGCTTCATACTCAGCCCTCCCCCACCTCACTGCTCAGGTGTTGCCCATACCATTGCCAGCTGTTTGGGTGCACTGGCTGAAGTACAGATCGCCCTCTCTGACACACACAGACACACACACACACACACACACACCACTTACCCTCACTGTCTCTGTCTTGCCACATTTGCATGCAAGCATGCTCCATAAGACAAAGGACTCATTAAGTAGTTAAGTGGAAAGTAGTTGAGGGGAGGGGAGGGGAGGAGCAGGAGACTGGCAGGCAAACACTTTTCACACCAAGAATGAAAGTTTTTGGGTCCCTGACTGCAAAAGAGAATGGGTATCTGAATCTGCACAATATTATAGCATCCAGGAGTATCCATTCTCGGCACGAAGAGCATTTTCCAGCCAATTCTCCTCTCCCTTCTTTAAAGGCAAAGAAACAGAGAAACAAGGCAGGAGACAATTGTTTGCAAGATAAGTGAGTCCTTGTTGCAGAAAGGGAGGGAGAAGCAGGAAGTATCTTTGTGTGTTGGGGAGGCCTTGAGGTCTGTTCTATCAGTACCCCCACCCCCCATGGCCTTTCCACCCTGAGATACCTCATGGGCATATTGGTATTCTTGAATTGTGAGCTCTTAGGAAAGTATACCCTCCTTGTGTATTGCAAACAGCTACTTCCAGTGGGGAAAACAGCACAAAGCAAGTGGGGAAAATAGTTTCTTTTTCTATATTTCCAGTCTGAATTAGTCCATGGCAGGGCTCCTGCAGAAGAGTTCTTTTAAGGATCATTATGTATTAATAGAAAAGCAACTAATTTAGCTCTGTTCTTAAATACTAAAGTTGTTGCACATAAAAAACAGAGGAGCTCTAATCAACAATCAGAGCCATTATTTTGACAGTTTTGCTGTACTGTAGTCCCCATTAAATACAAGCATGGAATAAACTGAGCCTGTTTGTTCTCAGTCTTTTAAGTGGCTACTAACAAAAGTGGCATTTGATCACAAGGCAAGAAATGTTTCCCCTTTTGCATTTGAGCATCCAAGAAGGGATAGGAAAGACAAAGAAAAAGAAGGAAAGAGGGGAAGAGAGCAAGGAAGCAAAAAGAAGGAAAGAGGGGAAGAAAGAATGAAGAGGAAAGAAAAAGAAGAGAAGGAAGGAGATTACAATGAGAGAGAGAGTGAGGGTGTGAGGTAAATTCTGCCTTAGCACATGATCACCAGCAGCCCTGCTGCCTTTTACCATCCCCTTGCCCCTCTTCCTGACCTCTCCTGGTGGTCTCCCATCCTATCACTGAGGATGTTGGTTACAAAACCAGGTCTCGTAAAGAGAGGGAGTTGGCCTCCCTCTGACATACTTTGTCCTCTTGCACACACCATGGGCAACCAAGGAGAGCAAGCACAGCAGCAGTGAGAGCTGGACATGCCAACCATGGCTACGCCCCCCTGCCCCCCTGAAGTCAATGACAATGGTGCCCTCATTGAAATTGAGTTTGACACCCCTGGACTAACAGATGACCTGAGTGCTGCATGTGTTGCTCTCAAAGATTATCAGCGTGCACACAATAGCAAAAGTCACCTTAAAAAGCATGCCAAATGCAAATGTTTACCTTTCAATAAAAAGATGTTTGTATCATTGAAAGCGCTGTTGTTGTTTTTCCAGAGATAAGATGCTAATCATTTATGAGTTGTTTTTTCTAAACTAAAAGCTCATTATTCAGGTTAAATTGTCGTGTTGGCACTCCGAGATTAAAAAGTGGGTTTTGAGTTGCGGTTTGGGTATTCAATCTCTAAAAGGTTTGCCATCACTGCTCTAATGCCTAGGCATAAATCACTGCTGATGATCTTGAAGCAAGAGTTTATCAGCTGAATAAGACACAGCTGGCAAATAAAGAGAACAAGGCAGTGCACTGTTTATAATTTGATGGGATTTATTGTTTGGATTAATTAAAGATGATAGGCTATTATGGATTACAAACATTGATTGACTTGAATTTATTTTGGACTAGACAAACTGGTTATATACAACTGAGAGTTTGGATTAGAAATATTGGTTGAACTGGAACTTTGACTGAACCTTATTTTGGTTTGATGGACTCAAATATTGGCTTATTGGAAACTGTTAGATT